ACTAGCTGGAATTACAGGCGCCTGCCACCATGTCCAGCTAATTTTTGTATTTTTAGTAGAGACGGGGTTTCACCATGTTGGTCAGGCTGGTCTCGAACTTCTAACCTCAAGTAATCCGCCTGCCTTGCCCTCCCAAAGTGCTGGGATTATAGGCGTGAGTCATCACGCCCGGCCAAATTTTTTTTTTTGGAGGGGGGGGGGTAATGGAGTTTCACTCCATTGCCCAGGCTGGAGTGCAGGTGGCACAATCTTGGCTCATTGCAACTTCTGCCTCCCAGATTCAAGCAATTCTCCTGCCTCAACCTCCCAGATATTTGGGATTGCAGGTACCCACCACCACACCCAGTTAACTTTTGCATTTTAGTAGAGACAGGGTTTTGCCGTGATGGCAGGCTGGTCACGAACTCCTGACCTCAAGTGATCTGCCTGCCTTGGCCTCGCAAACTGCTGGGATCACAGGCATGAACTACTGCAACTCCCAACCTCCTGTATTTTTTAAAAGCACCATGAGTGAGTCCAATGTGTAATCAGAGTTGAGAACAACTAAGAGAGATACTTATGTTACAGTGGAACGATCATTTAGGAAGACTTAGTACCACCCTCAGCCCTCCCACTTTCCACTTCTGAGACCCTGAGCAACTTATTTTACTCTAAGCCTTAGCCTCCCCAACTAAAAATGAATTATTGTAGATATCAAAAAAAGAGGTTTCCATTTTTTTTCCTCATATTTATATTCTATCTTAGTTTAGAAAATGCTTTTATATTTACTATGTCAAATGACAAAAGCCTACTAATGATATAGGGTGAATGGGAAATAAGGATACTGCAATTAAAAGAAATTAAAAAGCATAACTATACAGCTGGCATAAATGCTCAAATACTACATGAAGGGCATACCACTTCAAAGACTACTAGCATTGCTGTGTATCCTGCTAGGACTAAGTTGAGCAGCTTACTGGTTGAACAAAGTCTCCAAATAAAAGAAAAATACCTCAGGCTTCTTTCATTTTGATGTATGCATTAATTTTAGCCATCAAGGGTCTTAAAGCAAAGGGACAAAACCTATGTGCCCAGGGCAAATACAGAAAATCTATAGCCAAAGGATGAAAGATTGTTAGATCATTTTGCAAGAACTTCTTCTAACTCTGTTTTCTACCTCTATGCTTTCAACCTATAGAGATGTAGTTTTGATCTTGAAGCTATGAGATGTATTTTCAGATCAGATTTAGCCTAGGGTTACTCAGCTAGGATTTTCTACAGCTCTGTCACTGAATAAAGTATGTTACAATGGCCTAGTTTGTTTTCACCTATACAGACAAGCCTGATCTAGCCACACCTTTGCAATATCTCATTTATGTAATTATAGGATTCCAAAGCCAAAAGAAACTGTACATGCCTACTGCTCTGACTCTCTCCTTTTTTAGATGAAGGCACTGACGTATACAGAGAAATAATTGACCCAGATCAGACAGCCAATTTATGGTAGAACCAAGATTATAATCCCAATATCTGGAACCCCACTTTCCCATTTAGCACATAAGATTGTCCCTTCAGGTCCCAATGATGTCTGAAGGCTCTGCTTCCATCTGCTGTTTCAGACAGGAATCTTCTTTTTCAAAAATCAGCTTTATTAAGATATAATTCACTTACCAAGCAATTCACCCATATAGTGTAAAATTCAATGGCATTTAGTATATTTAGAGAGCTAGAAAGGCATCACCAAAATCAATTTTATAACATTTCATCACTACAAAGAGAAACCCCACCTCTCTTAGCAATCACCTCCTAGTTTTAATTGCCTCTCCCTATCTGCAGCCGTAGGCAACTACTAATCTACTTCCTATCTATGAATTTACCAATGCTACACATTTCCTAAAAATGGAATCATACTATATGTGATCCTTTGTAACTGGCTTCTTTCACTTAACACAGCGTTTTCAAGGTTCATTCATGTCATGGCATGGATCAAAACTTCATGTCTTTGTTATATTTCATTATATGGATAGTCCACATTTTATTTATCTATTCATCAGCTGATGGGAATTTGGGTTGTTTCCACTTTTTGGCTATTAGGAATGCTGCTATAAACATTCATGTACTGCTGGTAACTCTATGTTTATCTGTTTGAGGAACTGCCAGACTGTTTTCCACAGAGGCTGTACCATTTTACATTCCCACCAGCAATTACGAGGGTGGCAATTTCTCCATATCCTCACTAACACTTGTTATTATCTTTTTTATTATAGCCATCCTAGTGAGTGTGAAGTGGTATCTCATTATGGTTTTGATTTCCACTTTTTGGAAATCAATGGCTAATGATTTGAGCATCTATTCATGTGCTTATTGGTCATTTGCATATGTTCTTTGGAGATATGTCTATTTAGATATTTTGCCCATTTTAAAATTGTCTTTTGGTTGTTGACTTGTAATAGTTTTTCTTTATATAATTTAGATATGTATCCATTATAAAGTACATGATTTGGGAAAATTTTCTCTTTCCTGTGTTTTTGCTTTCTGGATGGTGCCCTTTAAAACATAAATGTTTTATGTTTTAAAGTTTTATGTTTTATGTTTTTAGTTTTGATGATGCCTACTGGAAGAGAATCTTATTACCTTCCTAGTTTGAGTCAGCAAGAACAATTTAAACTTTTTAATTTAAAAAGTCCTCTTTCACCACATGTAGACACTTGGGCTGAAAGCCTGTTTATTTATAGAGATCAAGAACACCGGTTAAGATAAAATATTTTTTTAAAAATACACATCTAAATTGAGGGATAAACTAAGTGGCTATATATGCGGAAGAAGATTGCAGGGTATTTACCACTGCCTCAGATCATACCCCTTGTACCAAGGAAGTTGGCAGCTACTATATGAATGAATTGGTCAGGAAATCAAAGTTAAGCACATGTCTTTTTATTTTATTTTATTTTTATTTTTATTTTTATTTTGAGATGGAGTTTTGCTCTTGTTGCCCAGGCTGGAGTGCAATGGCGCGATCTTGGCTCACTGCAACCTCCGCCTCCCAGGTTCAAGCAATACTCCTGCCTCAGCCTCCTGAGTAGCTGGGATTATAGGCACCCACCACCACACCCAGCTAATTTTTTGTATTTTAGTAGAGACTGGGTGTCACCATGTTGGCTGGTCTCAAACTCCTGACTTCAGGTGATCCACACGCCTTGGCCTCCCGAAGTTGTGGGATTACAGGCGTGAGCCACTGTGCCAGGCCTATTTTATTTTTTTTTAAGACAGGATCTCACTGTGTCACCCAGGCTGGAGTGCAATGGCATGATCATAGCTCAGTATAGCTTCAAATTCCTGGGCTCAAGCAATCCTCCGGCCTTAGCCTCCCAAGCAGCTGGTAGTACAGGCACATGCCACCATGCACAGCTTTTTTTTTTTAAGTAGAGGCAACGTCTTGCTATGTTGCCCAGGCTGGTCTCAAACTCCTGAGCTCAAGTGATCTTCCCACCTCACCCTCCCAAAGTGTTGGGATTACAGGCATTAGCCACTGTGCCTGGCCTTCTTTTCTATCCAATCTCACAAACCTACAGGGAAGGTAGAGTAGAAGGACTTATACACATAAAGATACAAGCCCAATGTACTCATTAAAAGTCCTTAATATTTCTCATTTTACTTATACAACAAACATTTACTATACATGAGATCTGCTTATAAGACGTATCTATATAAAGACACCACAAATGCAATGTGTTCAAAATCATCATCTTCCCTGCTCTCCAATCACCAACACTCCTAATTCATTCCTTCTTTCTGTGTTCTCTATTTGGCTAATGACACTACCATCTACCATGACACTACCATCTACCATCTCCCCCGATCTGTAGTTAGGCATGAGATATTTTCTGCAGTTCACCATTGTGCTAGTTGTATCTGCTCTACCGTGGCAGGCTTATATATAAAAAACGTGTCTCAGTTCTGATTTTACCATATAGTCTACTAGCTATGCCTCCCAGTGTCTATTCATCAACAAAGGAGTAAAGAGACAGACAACTAACATTCAAGTACCTTCTGTGTAGAAAGTACTCTATTAGGAACTTTGTATGTAGTCTTCACAACAACTCTATGAGCTAATATCTCAGTTTTAAAGATAGGAAACTAAAGGTCAAGCAGTTAACTGACATGCCTAAGATCACAAAGCTGGTAAGTGGCGACCCAGCTCCATCTAAATCAGAAGCTCATGAAAACTACTTACACACAGAAAGCCAGTATCTTTAGCATGCCATAAGGATAGGGCCCAGCAAATATACCAAGAACTTTACCAGAGCAACAGCCACTTAAATCAACATTTTTGGTATCAAACAAAATACATCTTTTGTTGTGGACAACAAAACCTTTATTTTACAACCTTGTCCACAAGGATCTTGGTGACCTTTTCATATACACTGTTAAAATCCTGATTACTCTTCTATTAATAGAAGTTTTATCAATAAAAAGGAAATAAGCCTGCCCAGTATGAATTATTCATAGTAAACTCATGCTGAATCCTAGTTATCTCTGCATCTTTTTCTCAGTTGTTACTTGCCATTCTTATTGATACATACTCCCCAAACCTGAAAGTGGGACTAGGAAGTCAGAATAAAGAAAAGGCAATCCAGATTTTGGAAAGAAAACATTTCCAACTGAAACTAATTCTGGGGTAAAAAAATTCCAAATAAAGACATTTTAATTTTTCTTACATTTTGTGACTTCATAAACAGTTTAAAAATTTAAAAAGTAAATAAATAAATCACTTCAGATTGTCCCAAATCTGGCAAGAGCATAATTATTCTCTTACAATTTTGCTCAGATACAGTTAATACAGTATAAAAATAGGTTTATTTTCTATTTGGCTTCAGCCACTTTAGGAAGAAAGGGAAATATTTAACTAGAAAAAAAGCATTAAAGGAAAATTAAGTCAAAGATGATAGATCTTTTATCCAGGTAACTCAAAATAATTTTTTTAAAGCATACAAATGATGAGAAGAAATCAAATACTGTACTTTTATCTCCAGGTAAGATGGATCTGTAAAATCGGTCCTTCTTTTTCTTCTCTTCTGGGTTTGGAGGCAGAGGTTTAGAACCATGGTTTAGGGTTCCAGCATCTTTGCTGCCGGCTCCAATCATGGTGCTGGTATTTCTCATCGGAGGGGCTGGGGGTTTGTCTTGAATGTCTAGGCCGTTATTTGACATTGTCACCACCAGCAGCAGCTACTAGAATCAGAAATAACAATATAACTCTCTTATTATTTTTGACCAAAAGGAAATACATGTTAAAAAAAAATGCAAAGAATCCAAATTATACAGCCCTTCCTTCAGGGCCCAGCTCAAGCCTTCCACTGCACACCATGATACTGCTAGCCTATTCAGTCAATAACACTCACTGATGTATAAATGCCTACTATGTGCCAAGCACAGCTGAAAAATCACAATATCTTGCTTTTCTCTGCATTCCCATTCTGAGACATTGAAGAGCATGGAAAACCACCATGATGTAGTTCAAAGCAGAAATTTGGCCTAGCAAAAACTAAGCGTGAATCCCAGTACCACTTACTAACTTTAGAGAAATTCTTTAACGTCTTAGGCTTCATTTATTCACCTATGTGAAGATTAAATAAAACTGCTAACAACATTTCACATAGTGAATTCTCTGCCAACCTCTAATTTTATAACCTTAGACAATTTACACTTTCCCTCTCAGGAATGGACTATAACAAGGGTCAGCAAAGCTGCTGTTTTTGTAAACAGTTTTACTGGAACACAGCTTCACCCATTCATTTATGAATTGTCTATGGCTTTTTTTTTTACCGGACACTGGCAGAGTTTAGTAGCTGCAACAGAGACTGCATGTCCACAAACTTAAAATATTTACTATCTTGCCCTTTACAACAAGTTTGCTGACCCCTGAGACTATATAATCTCTCCAGTAACTCCCTCCTCTAAAATTCTACCTTGTTCTTTAAAAAAGAGATGGGATTCTTGCTCTGTCACCCAGGCTGGAATGCAGTGGTGTAATGATAGCTCATTGCAACCTCAAACTCCAAGGCTCAAGAGATCCTCCCACCTTAGCCTCCAGAGTAGCTGGGACTACAGGCATGCACCACCATGCCCAGCTAATTAAAAAAAATTTTGAGAGACAGGGTCTTGCTATGTTGGCCAGGCTCATCTCAAACTCCAGGTCTCAATCAATCCTCCCACCTCAGTCTCCCAAGCAGCTGGAATTACAGGCAAGAGCCACTGTGCCTGGCTTTCTTCTTCTAAATATAAAATAGTCAATGCAATAACCATCTTGTCCTATATGGTGTAGAATTTACTGGCAAATTCTCCAGTCCTTCTGAGAAACAGAAGGAATAAAATCTAAAAGATGGATAGGCCGGGCACAGTGGCTCACACCTATAATCCCAGCACTTTGGGAGGTGAAGGCGGGTAGATCACTTGAGGTCAGGAGTTTCAGACCAGCTTGGCCAACATGGTGAAATCCCCTCTCTACTAAAAATACAAAAATTAGCCAGGCATGGTGGCAGGTGCCTGTAATAATCCTAGCTACTCAGGAGGCTGAGGCAAGAGAATCACCTGAACTCGGGAGGCAGAGGCTACAGAGAGCTGAGATCGCACCACTGTACTCCAGCCTGGGTGACAGAGACGCTGTTTCTAAATAAATAAATAATAAAAGATGGGCGGGGGGAAATTCCCTATCACACATTATCAATAGTTTTAATGAAAATATATTATTACCTTAAAATAAATAAATGTCCTTGACAATGGATAGATATGAATATATCCAGAGTTAAAAATGTTTCTCATTAATCTTCCATGCTGCAGTAGAAATTATATATTTAACCATGATTATTTAAAATATAAGCTCCTTGGAGTTAAACACAATAGTGCTTTAGTGAATAATGGGTTCAAAAAACCAGCACAATAATCACCAAGAGCTTTCAGAAATACAGATATCCTGTTTTGCCCCCATAAACTTTGACTCAAAATGGCTGAATTAAGGCCTAAATTCTGTATTTGGAAAATTAGTGATCCCACTGCCAGTCAGATTTGAATACCACTGCTTCAGACATCAGTTACTTAAATACCATAAATAAAATCTATAGGAGGGTATTTTTTTTTAACAATTTCTAATGAATAAAGAACTGATTCTCCCCACATCCAGTTTTTTCCTTAATCCTTTATCCAGGGGCTGTCAGTAATCTTAAAACATACTACTTTTCTACTTTTAAAACCCCTCATTGACATCTCAGGATAAAAGCTGAAGTTTTTGGCTTGCTTTTAGAAGCCCTCTGTTATTTGATCAAACTCACCCATTAGTCTCATTCCCTCCACTACTACTCCCTCTAATTTCCCTTATACTCTATCCACACCCAACTTCTCTAACTTCTTCAAATATCCCATAGCTTTTACACTTCTATCCCTTTGTGCATGCTGATGCCTCTGCCTAGAATACCAATTTCCCTGTGTTCCAACTATGAATTCACTCATCCTTCAAGGCTTAATTCAATTGCTTTTTGATGAACCCATTTGGAAATGTGTCATCACTTCAAGAAGTTAGGTGCCCCCTCCTCCATGTTCCCAAAGCAACGGTAACTTTCCAGGTTATCCTTTTATTATTGCTGTTATAATTGTTTACAGGTATGTCTTCCCTAGGATCCAGAATGTTCTTCAAATATTGGGCCTTATTTTGTCATCTTTGCAATTCAACAATGCTTTATATAGTATATAGCTCACAGTGAACTGAAATATTTTGAATAATCAAACTTTGCATAGAGATATATATCTTGCCTTTAGGAAGTTTAACACAGATAAAATTCAAGGTTGTTCACTATGTGACATCTACCTGCCTTAAAACTAAGTCACTACACCTAGCACAGCCTAATTCAAACCACGCCTCAGAAATCTGTTCCTCTTACTTGCCAAGTATTCTTACTTATTTATTTATACACACACACACACAGACACACAGACATAGACACAGACACACCCCAACGTGCTTCCTGTCTGTCAATGATTTCTCCCTTCTCTGACAGATAAAAATTTTACTCATCTATCAAGGCCAAACCCTAACACCACTTCTTTGCATAATTCATCCTGACCCACCTTTGGCAAACCAACTGCTCCTTCTCTTTTTAAGCAAAAGAAATCAAATAAGCAAAAACCATCTTGTTAATGTAGATTAACTCTGTGAGTGATGCCATTTCTTCCAGTTTCACTTCCCAGATTTACCATTGTTTTCCCTCCCAGCTGTAACTCAAGTCCCTCAGCTCACCAAAGAGAACTTTTACTGTCTCAGTTCTCAAGTGTACCTTCCCACTCTAGGCTGCCGTTCCAAAATTACATACCCTGCAGCCACCTGATACCCTAGTCAAGCCCTAGTCAAGCCCTTCCTTACCTCCCAGATCCTTCAACCAACAGCTTCATTGACTGTAACTTCACTTCAGGCCCACAGCCCATGATTATGCCAAGAAAGGTTTTGCCAGCCTTCCTGATACAGGCTTTTCTCCATTTCTCAGTCCTTTTACTATGTTTGGAGAATTCTGTGGTAAATCTTCACTTTCAAAGTGATTCCATTATTACTTAAAACCTAAAATATGTGTTGGAATCTAATTTGAATTCTTTTACTACATTCCAACCTAGGTCATCCAGAGTATGCTTGAAAAGTTGCAAGGACAGGAAATCTAAAATCTCCAAAGACTGCTTATTCTATCTTTGATCATCTCAGTTAATGAGTTATCACTTATAATAAGCTCTTACACTGCACTGAAATAAATTGTTTACAGATTTGCTTTCCCTTTCACCACTCTCCCCCGCTAGACTTAGACTATGAACACCTCAAGAACAAAGTTTATGTCCTATGTATTTCTCGATCCACAACACTAGGCCTGGCACAGAATAGGTAATCAATAAAGGTGTTGAGTACCCTCAGTATTTTCTCTTTCATTTCAAGCCTGGTGAATCTGGCGATTATGAGGGCAGCCAGAGAGAAAGGTCAGGTTACCCATAAAGGGAAGCCTATCAGACTCACAGCAGATCTCTCAGCAGAAACCCTACAAGACAGAAGAGAGTGGGGGCCAATATTCAACATCCTTAAAGAAAAGAACTTTCAACCCAGAATTTTACATCCAGCCAAACTAAGCTTCATAAGCGAAGGAAAAAGAAAATCTTTTGTGAACAAGCAAGCACTCAGAGATTTCATCACCACCAGGCCTGCTTTACAAGAGCTTCTGAAAGAACCACTACAAATAGAAAGGAACAACCAGTATCAGCCTTTCTAAAAAATACCAAAAAATAAAGAACATCAACATAATTAAGAACTTGCATCAACTAATGGGCAAAACAGCCAGCTAACATTAAATGGCAATATCAAACTCACATATATTGTTATTAATTCTAAATTTAATCGACTAAATCCCCCAATCCAAAGACACAGACAGGCAAAAAAAGCCAAGACCCATTGGTATGCTACATCCAGATCCATCTCACATGCAAGGATACACAAAGATTCAAAACAAAGGGATGGAGAGAAATTTACCAACCAAATGGAGAGCAAAAATAAATAAATAAATAGAAAGCAGGAGTTGCAATTTTTGCTGATAAAATAGATGTTAAAGCAACAAAGATCAAAAGAAGCAAAGAAGGATATTACATAATAAAAGGATCAATGTAACAAGAAGAGCTAAATATCCTAGATATATACGCACCCAATACAGGAATACCCAGATATATAAGACTTATCAAGAGACTTGGACTCCCACACAATAATAGTGGGAGACTTCAACATCAATATTAGACAGATCACTGAGACAGAAAGTTAACATCGATATCCAGGACTTGAACTCAAATCTGGAACAAGTAGATTTAATTAACATTTATAGAACTCTCCACTTTAAATACACAAAATATACACTCTTATCAGTACCACATCACACCTATTTATAGGTTTAAATGAAATATAGTTTGGCTGCTTGTTAATTATTTTCTTCCCTCATTTTTTTTTTATGTCTCTATTATTAAACACAATTAAGGCATACCCATTTTTAGACTGCATTCTACCCCAGGCAATAAAGCAACAGCCTTGTTCTCTCTCCCTCTTCCTCTTTCTTCCTCTCCTTCATTCTCTTTTTTTTTATTCTTTCTCTTTCTTTCTTTCTCTTTCTTTAAAAAAAAAAAAAAAAGAATGAATGAGCTCCCACCCTTTTTAGAGTGGAGGA